GTTTAGCTAATATGTAAGGTAGGGCGTTAAAGTGCTTGAGGGCAAGATATTAAGGTCAGTACTTAAGGTCAGAAGAGAATATGATCATTTTGTTGACCTGCATGACACTGGCAATAATTCCTCGTTAAGCAGATTTGAGGAAGATGTTGGGTCTTGATTTAAAGACTTGGTTAATGGGGGAATAAATACCTCAGGGGGACATGGGATTGGAAGGGAATTCCTAGGTTACTGAGTCCAGCCCCGTGCCATTATGTGCACTTCGCCATATCCCAACAAAGCTCCAGCTTGGAACTAGTTGGGATTTCTTTGGTTCCAGAACCTCACTATTCTGGTCGAAAACCTTCTAAATATACCTGTGGCTGACTTGGGCCTTTTGTTTTTGTGCGACCCTTGGGCATTTTTACACACGTGGGCACTTTGAAAAGCGCCTGGCGCTGCGACACTTGCAGTTGTATGAGCAGTGAAATGCATGTCAGAGCTGAGAAAATGGCGGTGGTGTGCTTTTGAACTAAAACACATGGTGCATCAGTTGAAAAGTGCACCACCACCATTTTCTGTGTGCTGATGCGTTTTGCAATTTATACAACTGCACACGATGCAGTGTAGTGCGTGTCAGCTCAGAAGCAGAGCAGACTTGATTAACTGAGTGTTCCAAAGTAGCGGATATCCAGCGCGTCATGGGACCAAAAAGTGAGTGTATAAATGCCCCTTGTCTCAACCTGATCAGCTCTTCTTTACCCCCTTTTGTATTTATAAACAGCAGTTACATCAATCTTTGTTTGGCCAGGCTAAACAAGCCCACATCTTCTAATTTTCTCTTGTATGACTAGCTTTCTATTCCCCTGATCATCCCAGGAGTCCTTTGCTGTTCCAGTGTCTTTCCTTAGAAGGTGGGTGACTAGAACAGTAGATGGCATTCAAAGGACACTTTGCCAGGGCTTTGTATTAATGGTCCGCTTGCTACTGGAAATGCTATGCCTGCTGCAGGCTGGGGTCCTGTTGGCCTTTCCACAGCTGCCAAACGTGAACGTCTCCTAGTCATCCTGAGACCGAATACTGACTGCACTGAGCATTTTTTTTTTCCCTTTCAAGTTTCCAGTTGATGAGTCTTGTGTTAAAATCTCCATCAGTGACTTGAAGGAAAACAGTCATCCCCAGGTGACTTGTTCCAGCAGTTCTCTAGCTTTACTCTTTATTAGCCTTTATTTCCAGCTTCTGGGGTCTGCCTCTGTGTGCTAGATTCCAAGAATCCTAAGAAACGCATCCGAAGGTTCTTCCATGGCTTCTCACAAGTAGCGGAGGTGATAGAGATGCAGGGGAAGGAGACATGAGTTAAGGATGGTGGCCTTTCTAATACTTCTCAGCATGGCACTGTGGAAAAAGGTTCTTGTCAGAGCAACCAAACAATATTTTTGGTGAGATTACAGGTGGCAGTGACAACGGTTACTGCCTCGGCCTGAGTAAGACACGGGGTGGTGGTATGCAACATCTGACCTAAACAACCCTCAAAACATGCATTTGAATGGGTTAAGTGCCAGGCTGTCTCCCAGTGAACAGCTTTCAGCAGTGGGAGAATGCAGAATGCTTTTCCTGTGGCAGTGCTGCCTGCAGCCTGGCTTTGGAAACACCGCACTGCAGAAGGAACCTTTTGGGGAAGCCTGGGCTGGAACAGACGGGCTCTTTTTACAATCAGTCCTGGCAGTGATAAAGTCCTTTTACATGTTTTAGACCAGTGGACTCCTCTAGGGTTATCAGCCTTCATCGGGGCACGGAGGGGCAGAAGGGTGCTGCTGTGAAGGATGCGGCACAACTTGAATGGCAATCATTTGCAAGCTCCAGGAGACCCCTAACCGCCCTTCACCTTGGGATGAGGCAGGATGCTAAAATGCTGGGGGCAAGACCTTGCCTTTCACCAACACACTTCCAAGATGCTCCGCTTCCCAGTTTCACATTTAGCCAAGCATGCTGTCAGCCCAGCTTCCTGCAGGCATTGGAGGGCAGCAGCAGCTAGTTTCAACATGCTTCCTGTCCTTGCTGTGAAGCATAGAAAACAGGCCTGGAAGGTCTTCCAGTCTGAACAGCTGCTCAAGGCAGAATTGCCCATCTAACCCGCATTTGAAAGCACACTGGGCATTTATATGCACACATTTTTGTGCTCCAGTGTGATGGATCTGGTGCATATGTGAGCCAATGTGCACTGTGCTGCATCACGTGCAGTTGTATAAGTAGCAAAATGCACCTCAGCACACAGGAGATGGTGGCAGTGCGTTTTTTAATTAAAGCGCCTTTTGTGTGTTTTAGTTCAAAAGTGCGCTGCCGCCACTTTCTGAGCACTGCCTGAGGTAAGATCCTATGAAGACAGACGGGGGGACCTGAATCTCTTCAGCCTCTGCAAGAGATGGCTGAGATGATTGTGTGGCTGTCTACAAGCTCATCGGGGGGTCAGTAGGGAATAGGGGATACATTTACCAGGGTGCCCCTCAGGCTTACTAGAAAAAATGGACGTAAACTGAAGAAGAGCAGATTTAGGGTGGACATCAGGAAGAAATTCTTTAGTGAGGGGTTACCAAAATACGGAATGGCTTCCAAGGGAGGTGGTGCTTTCTCCGAGCACAGCTGGTGGATCCTGACATGGGCAGAGATGCATCTGCCTGTGGTTACTTAACCCCAGTGCCCTTTCCTGCCCAGAGCCAAGGGATTGGACTCAGTGATCTGACAGGTTTCTTCTGGCCCTAAAAATCCATGAAATCTATTTTCTCACTTGCACAACTGCAAGCGCTGCAGTGCTGGGTGCTTTTAAAAGTGCCCGGCACAAACGTGTACAAATGCCCAGCTAATTGATGCAGTAATTGATAATCACCCTTGTAGTGAGAGGTCTTCCTATTCAAACCGAATATCCCCTTGTTGCATTTACTCCTGATTCTATCCCCAGGAGATGGTCAGAACAGTTACTTCCCCCCTTTTTATACTTGAGATGTCCCCCTCCCCTTCTGTAGTCCCGGCTTGTTCAGCCTTCCTCACTCTGGGTTTTCTAGGCCTCTGATCACTGGTTGCTGGCCTCCAGAAGTGTTTGTCCCACTTTAGGCAAGTGGCAGGAGCTGCCCTGCTGGAGACCTCGGTCTGTCAGCTGGCCCTAGGGTGCAGGGCTGCATCACGAGGGGCCGCCGGCCCCGGGTCGCTTCAGAATGCGAGTCCGGGTTCCCAGCTTCGTGCGTGGGGCCGCCGCTGCCGGCCCAGGGCTGCCTCGGGCTGCGCGGCGGACCCGGCCCCTGCCTCCGGCC